GCCAAAGCCAGTCTGTGAACGTCAGAGGGTTCTTTGTGACTCAGAGGGGTGTATGATGGAGGTCAGTAGTTTCTCCTTTCACCCTGGAATGAACATCACACAGCACTGCAAGGGAGATGGATGCAGTGGGCAGGGCAGAAAACCTCCTTTCTGCACGCTGAATGAAGGTGCTGCCTGTCCTTTAAACCTGTTTGCTGTTCCTCAGCCTAACCAATTAGAAAGGCATCTGTTACCCACCTAAAGCCCTGTGCCACCCAGCAGAACAGACACCCCCACTCAGGGCACGGAGAGGGTGCAGTGCACCATACCCAAGGGAATCAGCTGTGTCCTCAGCAGCCAGCCTGATTAATGCATACAGTTAAATAAGAAACAAACTGCAGCAAACCCATTTCCAGCTACAGATGTGTAATTACTACAAGCAGGAAAAAGAAATAACTAAGTAAATGAACAAAAAGTTAAACCTACAATATTCTAATTCCCTCCCCTCAGCAACCTCTACAACTTACTAAAAAGACTTAAGACAGTAAAGATCTTAAAATAGTATACTTAGTATTTTACTTTATTTTTCTTAGAATAGGAACTGAAATTGTGATATTAAACATAATTCTACACAAATTCATCCCTCAGAGTTCAAATGTTACTTTCTAACATCATCCCAAACTATACATTGGTGAAGCAATAAGCATTGTAGCAACTGTTCATTAAAGAGATTATTTTCAGCTACTTCAGTGATGACAGCATAAGCAAGCTATTACTGGCATTTTCAAAACCACCTTTCTGACATGAAACATGGTGTTGCCCTTAAACACAAACCTATCAGAAATGGGATTTAAAAAAAAAAAAAAAAAAAAAAATAGAAAGCAAAAACAGATTCAAATCTTGCAACAAATAATAGATGCCTGTTATAATTTGCAGTGAACATTTTGGAAGATTTTTAAAACAGTAAATTTGATTAAGCTACTGAAAGCCTCAGAAAGAAGAAAAAAAAGATGATCAGGGCTAGATAATACTTGTGACACTGCTCCTTGTTTTTATGCTGGTGTAGAAGTTTTGAAATTTAAGTCTAAAGCTACTCATAGAAATTATTCTTAGAAATTATTACAGTAAGTAGGCTTATTCTGTAAAGGAACAAATGTGCAAGAAAGCCTTCAAACAACTAACAAGGAACTATTTTATTGCAACTTTAAGATTAATTTCACGAGGTCTGTTTATTACAGCTAAGATTTTCTACAATTTCATCACTCATATGAGGCTTTTCTTGTGCCACTATTTTACATACACAATCAAGAAAGGTATCAAATAAAAACAGGGCAGGGAACAGGAATCTAAATGACAAGTATTTCTTCTAACAAGGATTAGCTGAAAACTATGCTACAGTGGCTGTGAAAAAAATAGACAGTTTGCATTACTTCTAGACCTATTAGCTGTCACAAAATTTTAAAAGAAAAATCAGTTCCAATGTACAGAAAATTATCATTTTACAACAAAGTTGATAGCATTTTTATTTTGACTGTGATTTGCATTTTTCTCCAGTAAAAATCATTCCATGAGTACTTTTCAGTGACCTATGTGCTAAATCGTTTTCATTTCATATGAGCAAGTGACTTCTTAACAATACAACCAACAAAGAAAAAAACATGACTCGTAGGAACCATTCATTTTCAGCCACCATCACAATTTAATTTCTCCAAAATAAACCAGGTAAAAATTGAAATAGACTAAAAAAGTACTCCGTGTTCAAGAAATATTAAATCAATCCCTCTATCGGAAAGATAAATACCAGCCCTCACATATGGATGATGAAAAACAACGAGGTTAAGTGACATTTTCAATGACACATAGCAAAACACTGCCACAACATGGATCACATCTCAGAAGTTTTCTATTGTTTTCAGCCCACTAGCCTCGAGTAACTCCTGTGCATGCAATGCTGAATCAGGTATATTTCTCAGAATACCAAAAGCTTATTCCAGCTCACACAAATTAGTCCTAAAAAAATCTTATTCTACAGTAATTAAAAAATTAAGTCCAACAAGAACTTAAAAAAATACAATGGAGTCTCATAGGAATGTTTCTAAGCAAATACACCATTATTCTTAAAATTATAGTCCCAACACATTCTATTATGGAAAGCATTAAAACATGTATAAGCAACAGATTACTACAGAAAAAAAATGCAACCAAAAAAAAAAAAAAGCCAAACACCACCAATTAAACAAATCACTTCAAAAATCTGTGAAATATTCACCTGACTACTGCACAAACCCCAGTGCCGCTTTTAAAGAATACCATGTATTTACTGATTGAAATGTCCTGAACTTGGTATATTTCTTTTCCTCACACTCAAACCCATTCTAATTTGGTTGTTCCTTAGAGACTATTTGGTCATTTTACATAAATATTCACTAAACAGAAAGCTACAAAACATTTAGGTTTTTCCTCTCTCAGATGATATAAACACTGCACTGTAGCAAAGATCCCGTGACACAATGTAAAAATCGCTGAGGTTAAACTAAAAACAAAGAAATACACAAATATTTATACAATTGATTCTGCTTAAGCTTCCTCCTTAGGTTACTGTTAAAGCTTAAAGCCTACACCAACAAGGCCTCGCATGAAACAGTGTATTTCAGGTGTTACATATTATCAAAATAAATTAGGATGTCTAACTACAAGCATTTTGGAAATGCTGTATTTGAAATACTCTTTCCTTCCCCTTAGCCTTTTACTGATCTACTATCCTGAGTAATTAAATGAATAATTTAAGCATGCAAAAATTCTACAGAACAAAACCGTTTTGTAAAGACTACATTAAAACTGCAGATTACTACAAAACGGGTATTTTGAGTATCTACATTTACATGAACAAAAGAAAAAACTTCCGAAAATACTTATTTGAATGATTAAAACCATATCCCACTTAGAAGGGTTTAGTGTAGCATTAGAGAAACCAATTTAATAATTAATCATATTTTCTTTAGAGTAATATTACTAGCAGTAATGTTTTTCCTTAATGGCTTTAAATTACTTAGCACACAGAAGAAAAAATTTAAAACTGTCAAAATATCTTAAAACTTTGACTTCCTCCCCCCCCCACACACAGCTTAATGGGGAGATATAGACACCGTGCACAACTTCTGAGTCCCACCTTCGTAAAAAAATTTCCAAGGGCCTGATCCGAGCCTGTGAATTCAATGGAGCGATTCCTACTGCTGCCAAAGGAAAGCTTCCCACTATCGAGAGTTGAGTTTGGATAGGGGCTCTAATGCACAGAAAGACAAGGGAAGATCCTCTTTGGAAGAGGAACTTCGGTGTTTCTCTCGACTCCTATGTACACAGGCAAGACTTCCTAGACGTACAAGCGATTCCCAGGTACAGGGTACTGCCCGTTCCTCCATCTGTAGCTCTGCACTCTTTACTAATAGAGGACAACATCACAGATTCACGGTGGTTACTTTTGAGATTATTTTTCCCCTGGAGAATACACCAGCAGCCCACTTTCTACCTGGACAATTCTCGCAAATTTTAGATGAGCGTTCTCCTGCCAGCCCATAGCCTAAGCTTTACGCCCCTCCAGTAGCTCCATCCCGGGACCTTACCGGCGCTCGCCAGCGTTCTCGGCCGGGGCTGCGCTGCGACGCGGGCCCGCTGCCTGCCGAACCTGACGCGAGTCGAGCTACGGGAGCAGAGCAGAACCGCCCGACGGAGCGCCTTTACCGGGGCCGTGCGGGCGGCACACGGCTGTCCGGCAGGGCACGGGCGGCCGGGAGCGCTGCCGCCTGCGCACCCGCGCTCGGCGTGGCAGGACGCGGAGCGGAGGCGCCGGCGCTCGCCCTCCGCGCTAGGGCTGCCCTGGCACTGCCGATGGCACGGCACGGTGCAGCCCGCTCCACAGCCAAGGCCGCCAAGGCCGCTCTGCCCTCACAATCTATCACGCTTCCCAAACTTTCCAAGTCCCGAAGCCCTTCTCAACTTCAAAGCCAATTTTAAGGGAAGGCCCCTGCGTACCAGGCACGGAGGCCGCCTCCGGAACCCCGCAGCTCCAACACCATTATTTATTAATTGTTGGGTTTAGGCAATTTTGTCTTGGGCCAGGAGACGACCGTGCTCCCTGCGCAGCCCAAACAGCGCCCGGGGGCACCGCTGCCCCACGGGCACCTCGGCGCCCTGCGCTTCCCCTCCCACGCCAGCGGGGGCGCCCCGGGGCAGCGCGGCGCGGGGCGCCCCGAGGGGGCGGCCGGCAGCGGCCCCTCCGCGCGGGCGGGCGGGCGGAGAGGCGGGGGCTGGGGTGCGCCTCTCCCTCCGGCGGGCAGGCGGGCAGGCAGCACACAAAGGAGAAACGTGACACGTTTCTTCACCCGGGCTGTCTGCTGGGGAGGTCTCGGGGGAAAAGAAGAAGAAAGGAAAAAAAAAAAAAAAAGGAGGGGGGGAACCCAAAAAACCCCAACACACCACCACACAAACGGGGAGGCAAACGGCGGGCGGGCAGCCGAGCCTCCCGCACACGCTTCCTCGGCAGCCTAGCCCCAAGCCCTCCCCGCCTGGCACTTCTCTACCCGAGCGGGGAGGCTACAGGTTGTTTGTTTTTAATTACACGGGGGTGGGGGGTCCGCGGCGCGGAGCGGCGGGAGGGAGGCCCTGCCGGCCCGCAGCCGCCGCGAGTTGTTTTGGGGGAGCTCACACCGGCTCCCGCGGCCGGCCCGGCCCGGCCCGCCGGGCACGGCCCCAACTCCGGCCGGGGCACCGCAGGCTCCCAGCGCAGAGCGCGCCCCCGCCCCCCGCTGGCGGTGCGTGTTTGGGAGCGGTGCCACCGGGTGCCGGGAGACCTGACACATGTCACTACTGCGGCCCCGCCGGCCGCGGCCAAACTTTCCCGCGGCGGCGGCAAGTCAGAGAGCGGCGGCGGAGGGGGGTGGAAGCGCTGGAAGTAGCAAGTCACACCGGGGAGCGGAGGGAGGAGGAGACGGGTGCGCGGGGCGGGGTGGGGGGGTAGCACTTACCGGGAGGAGACACCGTGTAGGGCGTCCCGGCGAGCTGACACCGAGAGAGAAAGGGCGAGCGGAGCCGCGCGCAGCCGCGCGCACATACAGAGTCCCTGCGGGCGGAGCCGCGCGCGGGCCGGGGGAGCGGGGGCGGGCGGGCGGCGCGGGGCCCTCCGCGGGCGCGGAGCGGCGTCGGAGCCTCGCGCCCTCCCGCCGGCTGGCGCTGCCTGGCGCTGGCGGTGCTGCTCTCCCTCCCCCGGCGTGCGGGTCCGCCCGTGTGCGGAGTGTGCCGCCTGTGTGTATGTGTTTTGTTGGGAATGCGAAAAAAAAAAAAAAAAAAGATGAGGGTAAAAAAAAAAAAGAAAACCCGCCGCACACCCCGGCTGCTTTGGAGAGAGGGGAGTGCCAAGGGAGCCCTCCCTCACATGATCGCAGAGTGGCCTGCACAGAAGTGCTAATAACGCGGGGAGGGGTGGGGGGGAAAGCAGCGGAGGGGGAATGGCAACAAAAAAAAGTGCGGCGGGATGCGCCGGGCCGTGCCCCGCTCCGCCCGCGCCTCCCCCGGCCGGTCCCCGGCGGAGCGGGCGCTGTGGGTCGCGGCGGACGGCAGCTCCACCTGCTATGTAAACAAACCGTCGGGGAAGTTGTTTGCTGGCGGCGGCTGCCCCTTCCCGCCCCCTCTCCCCTCCCGCCGCCCTGCTCCGCCGGCTCCGTTAGACACAACGAGTTTAGCAGACGGGCGGAAAACAAAGCCGTGTGTTGTGCTGGCAGTGCCGGCCGGCTGCAGCCTGCTGGCAGCCCCCGAGGTGCCGCGGCCCGCGCGAAGGCAGCCCGGGGAACCCGGGTGGGAGGGGAACGGCGGGGCAGGCCTGGCCGATGGCAGCAGCTATGCTGGGAGGCACGCGTGGGCCCTGAAACTTTTCTTCTCCCGGGCCCCGGCACTTGGAGCAAGGTGCAGGACCCCCCAGATGTCCGCAGCAGGAACCGGCCTCTCCCCGCCCGTCTGGAACGGCCGCCCCACCCTGGGGCTGCCGTTCTCCCCGGGAAAAACACTTCTAAGTGATTTCTGCGTGGGATAGGGTATCAGGGGAGAGAAGTAACGGGGAGAGAAGTGCTGGCATCGTGGCTATAGCTGGTCTTGTCCTCCCTTGTCCTTGCCACGGTTCCCAGTAAATCGGCGCTGGGGATGTGTTTGGGTGGAAAGACCTTGCGTGGGCGAGGGAGAAAGCGGACGGCGGTGGCCGAGCGGAACGCGGAGTTTGTTATTTCGGAGCCCACCTAATTATCGCGCGGCAGCCCCAGCCTTAGCAGAGCTCTCTGTACGCGCCGAGGGCCAGGATCACAAGTGACTGTCACTCAGAATTAACAGTCACCGCATTTATTAAGCACAATTAAAAATCCCACAAACTTTGCCACTCGCTGCTACAGGCAAGTGGCAGACCGCCTGCCCGCCGCGCCACTCGCTCCCGGGGCCGCCGGCCAGCCGCGGCGGGGGCACTGCCGGCCGCTCGCCACCGGCGGCGGGGATGGGGGGGGAAGCCGCTATCGCGGGGCGGAGCCGTCGCAACTCCGGCAACTCGGCGGGGCCCCCCGCGGCGGCCCCCGGCCCAGGCCGCCCCCCGCCCCGCCGCGCACCCTTCCGCCCGCCCGCGGCGGCGGGGCCGGGGGCCGGGGCGGCGGCGGGGCCGTGCGGGGCGCGGCGGGCCGGCCGGCAGCCAATGGGGCGCGGCCGGGTTCGCGAGGTGAAAGTTCAGCGCCGGGGCAGAGGCTCGCGGGGCCGCGGTGCTGCCGATGGGTGGCCGTAAAATATATTTATTTGCTACTCGCGGCTCTTTTGTCTCTTTGCCCCTCGTCCCCCCCTCCTCGCCCCGTCGCTGCCCCGGGTTACCGGGGCGCTGCCCGCCGCCGCGGAGGGCTACGAGCGCAACGGTTGCGGGGGACACTCGCGGCGCACCCACGGAGCCGTGGGACAGAATTCCCGCGGGCAGCCGCCCTCCACGGCTCCGCGCCCCGCGAGCCAGCGGGGCGGGAGGGGAACGGCGCGGGACCCGCGGCTACGCGCCCCGCCGGCCCGCAAACGAAATCGAGCCCCGCAGGCTCCGGCCGCGCATGGGCTCCGCGGGCAGGGGCGCGGAGCCTCGCGGGGCGCAAGCTGCGCGCTCCGGAGACCGCCGGCCCCTCCCCGGGCAGGAAGCGCGCCCCGGGGGAGAGGCAGCTCTCCCTCAGGAGCCGTCTGCGGTAGCGGACAAATCCCGGTCCCGGCGGAAGGCAGCGTGCAGCGGCACTTTCTGTGGGGTTAGCCCGCGGCACCGAACCGGCGGGACGGCGCGGCCCGGCCGCGGGCACCGCCAACTTCGTTGGGCGCCGGGCGACCGCGGCATCCCCGGCGGCGGGACGGGAGCGGCGGCGCGCAGCGACCCGAGGCTCCGGCCCGGCTCTGCCTGCCCTGCCGCGGGCCGCTGCCGTCGGGCCGTCCGCTCTCGGGAGTGCCCGCAGCACTCGCAGCCCTCTCTCCGGGCTGCGCTTTGTTCCACGAGCCCCTCGTCCTGTTCAGTGTGGCCTCGCAGGCAGACCCTCTCTCTGGTGGGCACAACGTGCCGGGAACAGCACGGCGCTTGGCCGCTAATATTTCTCGGCGCGACTTGGCAGTTCCACCCAAAATTAAAGCTAAACAAACACACACTTTCCCCACATTTTTTTTTTTTTTTTTCCAAGGACGACTACGGTATAAAATGTGACTTGGCTTTCTAATGAAAAACGCTGGTGCGTTTTATTTGTTCGTGTTTACGGTTCAAGATTTCATCTGCACAATTGTATTTCTCGCTTGAAATAAACCGCTTTGAAACCATTTTCCCTTAATTAATTTAATGTAATTTCTCTGTGCTGCTGGCAGTGTTAGGTGTCAATAAGATCGCTATTTTCTATTAGGATTGTTTAGAAAGCGAACAAGAACACATAACAGACTCTTCTTCGAACTAGGTGCACTCCCTTTCCTCCCTGCGTGCTGCTCCGAGACACTTGGGAAAGAGCAGAAAATGCTGGTTTTAACCGAAGTCAAGTTGAGGAGAATCTGTATTACAACATCAAAGAAAAGGAGACGTTACAAAATTGGTGGAGTTACACCACCATCTGTCGTTAAGCTTCGGGACTACAAAAGTTCAGACGTATAATAAATCTTAATGAGAGATGGCAACTTTCTTTTTTTTCTCTTTCACCTCGAACTCCTGCCACCCTGGCAGAGTGGGTTTCTCGGCGTTGGATGGTTCAGAGTGACAGACTGCCCATGCCTTCACAGACCTGTCTGTTCACTGCACCCTGCCAGGCCAAAGGGTTTCTTCTGGCACCTGATGTCCCCAAGAAGTTGCTCATCAAAACACACAGGCACCAACTCTTCACAGTACTCTTTAGCCTCAGGAGGTTGCATTCATAAAAAAGAAGTCTAAATAAAAAAAAAATAAAATAATAAACCAACAAAACTAAACCACCCTCACACATTCAAACCCCCCTCTAAAAAGATAAGAGATAAAAGATAAATTAAAAAACAAAAAAAGGAAAAAACCCCAAACAAACAGATCTTTTACGTTACAGTTGTAGGATTCAATTTAGCCCATTTTTTATACCTGTTCTGCAGTGGTGCATTCTGAAAAGGAACATATAGAAAACAGAACTTGGAATAATATATGTGAGTGAGCTGTGATGGTCTAATACAATCTGTGATTGCTCTTAAAGCTTTGACTGCTATAAACAAATCCTTAAGCATAAAATGATTTTATATTCCCCAATGTAAAGATGGCACCTTCTTGTCAGATCTCCCCATGAGACTTTAGCTCTTTCTAAATTCTTCAGTTAAATGGCTTGCAAATGCCCACTTACTATAGTTACTGAAGAATCATAAAAAGAAGGAATGTTTTCTTCGGGATTTTCTGAATCTTGGTGTTCTCAGAGAACAGTTGGCTTTCATGCAAGCAGGGATCTTCACTGAACTCAACCACAAAAATAATCAAATGTATCATTTTTTATCACGGTTCCTATTTTTAGACAGATGTGGTTTAGTCAGTATTGGTCCAAATGTGTTGCTGGATGGAATGCTTACCATTAAAGGTTAACTTTAAGGCTGTTTCTGTTTCACTGTGGAAATACACAGAACTTTGACTGTCTTCAGACTGGCATTTCACAAGTGCTCACAAACCTTACAGACCTGTAATTAGCACTTGGCATCTCCTAATATGAATCCTGTTTCTAATCTTTTTCCTAGGCCTAGAGAAACTCCATTTCCTATATCCTACCAGTAGTTGTTGACACTAAGAAGGAAATTCTCGCTTTTAGTTTGTGGACATGTCAAAAGAGAGAAACTCATTTCCTTGAAGCTCTATGTCCACTTTCCAGACTATCTCGTATAATGCAGAATTATGCTGCAGGCAGTAAACACTTTCAGCATTCCTTTGTCTATTGTGTTCATTTCATGTTACTAATAAAAAATAATTTTGTCTTCTCCATAGTCAACTAAGCTCTTTGTATCAACATTAAAAGCTGAGGTTTGTGAATTGGTGAAACAGGTGTTAAACATTCATCTGATGATAATAAATTTCGTGCTACTTTGTCAGCTTTGAGAAGTAAATAGGCCATTACAACCAATTGCTGATTTAGGAACACTTGGTAAAAGACTTGTGTCCAAGAATTTGCTGACAATTTCAGTGTTTGCACTGCAGTTTTATATACCTTTAATAAATAATAATTTTAATTTTTAAGTCATTGAAAAGACATTATAGCAACAGAAAAAAAATTAAAATACCAAGTAATTGAGAGTTGCTGGGGGAAAGAAAAATAAAGTATGTTATTCAAAGTTATCTTGTTCGAGTTGGAACAGATGCTGCCCTGAGCAGTACTGACCAAAATGAGGGATTACACTGTGCCAATTCAATTTCTTTGATAGAGTGACAAAAAAAACCAAAAAACCAAACCCCTCCCCACAAAACAAACCAAATCAAAAAACACAAACAAAAATATCCCAACCAAAGGAAAAAAAAAAAAAAAAACACTTACAGATTTTTGTGCAAATCTTGAAACTCAATTTCTGTATTAGAAAATATGTCAAAAT